TGGGGTGGGGTAGGAAGAAAATGCAGTTGAAGCTTTCAGTTTCTGGGAACAATAAAACAGCAAAGCAAATGGATTCATATGGGGCTGAACTGTAAAACTGAGTTTTACAGAATTATTGGAAGAGCAGGGATTACTTTTACAGGCTTTTCTTCTTGGATCATAATCTCTCGAAATTGCAGCCCCCTCTCACTTCGGAGCACAAACTATCTCTCCTGACAGGTAAAAAGTTCTGCAGCACACAGAAGTAAAGACCACTTTTTTCTTTTTTACTTTTGGGGTTTTTTGGAAGGAATTTTGCTAGCAACTCCTGACTGTCTTTCTGAAACTGTCACCCAAATGCCTCTTCTTTTTTTTTTATTTTATTTAAAGCTTTGAGATTCAGGGTTTCAGTTAGAACTGGTGATTACTGGGTTATGCTTTCTGAATGCCACACAGCAAGAAAAATTGCTGCTAACACTGGAAGAATGAAGCAACGTTTCTTTGTACTGCAAAGGCCATGTTCAGGAGAGGTAACACATACCTCCCAACACTCCCCATCTTGACTACGTAGGCAGGGAAGGGAATTTCCTTAATTAGAACTAAGAACATTTTTAATTTGCTTTTTTGTGGGTTTCCCCACATACATTAAGCTAATACAGTATAATGTAGCATTGGCTAAACAAAAGAAAAAAGGATTTGAGTTATAACTTCAGGTTAACAGAAAATATAATCACTTCCCTGTGCACAAACAATTTAAAATACTAGTTTAAAATCCTGAAATGCTAATGTGACTTTTTCTTATCTGTAACCAGTGCTGCTTCTCACACAATAATACTTTACATTTTACGTAGTTAGGGCTGGAGTTCACCAAAATAGAGTGAATTTTCAAGTTAAGTATACGGCTACCAGGACTAAACTTCATTTTTACAACGATATCCCCAATAATATGACCATCATGTAAATGAAGTTGTCTCAGACCACTGAAGTCAGTACCATCACAAGAATTTGCTCCAATTTAGAGCCTCAAGAGCGGTTTAACAAAAGCAGTTTAACACCAAGGAAATCCAGCTGTGCCCAAGTGACAAAGCTGGAGGTACTGGGACCTCTCAATTGCAGCGAGTACAGGAATTTACCTCCAGCAAAACACTGCGTTTTCCCCTTCCTTTTCATGTCCAATATAGCTGAACTGTTACTCTAAAGCTTTTCAGAAAATTCAGCCCTCTGACCTTAAAAGTCTGAATTCAAGCAGCGTAACTTTGCTAAAATTATAAGCTACTAAATGCACAATATTAAAAATCTTTGATAAATCCAGGTAAATCTTCTCCAACTCCAAGAGATTATGAGAAACCGATGCCAATATCCACGAAGGGCCACTGTTCCTTGCATCTAGCTGGAGCAGGATATGTTTCCATTTCCAAGATGAAAGCTATACAACCACTTCATTTTATTCCAGCTGGTTTTATGCAATTTAGCTGATGAAAAGCTAAATTTCTCAGGCTGCGCTGTGGCAACAAGCATTCTCTCCAAAGATAAGAGGAATACATTGAGGGAACCACTTGTCTTTTTGAATTGATAGGGATTTTATAAGTAAAATGGCAGAAATAGTATAATCTAGAAAATATAAAAAAAATCTTCAGACTGTAAAAAAACCTTGGAATTCCAGAAAGACATAACTAAAAAACGCTGAAAGAATATTTAGCTCAACCAACCTGCGAGAAAAAAAGTGCAAGAGAAATGCTAACTCAATACGATCTTTAAAAGATTCCCTACGGAGATCAAAAATACCTTTTCTATATCAAAAGACAAAAAAAGACAATAAGGAGCCAGGCTGGGCTCCTCTCCACATTTATAAAGACAGTGCAAATGGTGCACGAAACAAATTTCAGGAGCTGAATTGCATTTTTAGCTTTGAAAAGGCTTGATTAAATTTGAAGGTGGAATGGACTCAGTGCCTGAGCTGCCCCACTGACTTTGAAGGGGTGCTGGCTCTGAAGCGTGGTGGCACTATTTTCAATATGAGAGCTGTTAATGTGGGCTATTAGGAGAAAAGAAACAGCAGGTCTGGTCCCTGAATTTCCTTAAGTTTTTCCCCCTCAAACACGGTACTAATGCATAGAGACTGTGCTCACATTTTGCTTAATTTTCTTCTAATTTATTAGCAGTACTTTACCTTGCAGCAATTTGCTGTCCATAAGTTACGTGTGACCCAGAGACCTTTAAGTTCTCCTGCCACTGCAAGAGGGATAATTTGCTCCGACCCTCCTGCAGAAAAGTTCCTCTTTCTCTTCCAAGTCAGGATTTTGCGATGCTCGCTGCCTGGGCAAACAGCAGTGCCCTTCACAGCTGCTTCTGACCTAATACCATAAAATTGCCTAACAACTTCTATACTCTGTGCAGTAACTCACTCAGTATTGCTCACCATACGTGCTCCCAGTGAGCTGATGTGAAAGATGTGCTCTCACTGCTTTCACAACTGGGCTTTTAAAAAACTCGTTATCACATATATGGTAACCCATGAATCTCAGCAATTTACCAAGACCCAGACACACTCTACCAAATCTAACATCCCACTTTGGCATTTTACAGTACACAAGAGCCTGCATTGTTTTGGTTTTTTCTTCCAAGAGAAAGTATTTACCAAAAAAAAAGGCTTTTAACTGTTTCTGAAGAAATATTACGCAGCGAAGTGCAAGATGAAATCAATACGTGTTGGGGAGAGTTGTAAGCTGTTTGGTGAGTAAAGGGATGCATTACACGGCAGTGATTGCTGTTTGTAAGCCTGCTGTAAGAAAGAACATTTTTGTGCCATTTTGGAAGATATTCAGGGAGAACCTTAAAAAAAAAAAAAAAAAACAAAGGAAAAAAGAAAAAAAAAAGCCACAAGGTGTAAGTGCTGCCATGCTTTGGTTCCCAAGAATAGACTGTTTGTATCTAAATTCAACTGCATTTGGGAAAAAAAAAAAAAAAAGACAAGAACAGTCTGTTTTAGCAAAGCTGTGGTTTCATGATTACCTTAAAATGTGGAATACCACTAAAAGAAAGGCAGCTTTCTGCCCCACTCCCAGCCATGCTTTGCCTCCACTCTAATGAACTTGTGGCTCAAAATTAATATACATATTTTCTGGAGGGTTAATTTTCAGTCGGATTGGTCTACTAATCTGGTTTATCAAATGGCTACCCAATGTGTAGTGCTGGTGCAAGGATGTGGAGTTGGCAGACAGTGCGGGATTAACTCTTTGGGCAATAGCACATTTTGCAGATAGGCTTAAGTCAACCATGAAACTACATCTGGTTTCCCTCTCCCATCATTCAAGTACACAGATAACAAGTTTAACTGGTCTGGGGAAAAATCCCATAAAAATCTATTACATAGAAAACATAATTTTCTGGTGCCACAAACTTACAGGAGATAACGTGATCATTTGATGATAAAAGGTTAAGCCAAATCTTGTATTCTTGTCCATAGTTACTACCACAATGATTTATCCTGGGACATGTACTGTGTTAGCTGACATACTACTTAAAAGCAGCAAAAAACCCACAAAACAAAACCATCCGGAAAGAAAAGGTGTTCCTGAACCTTGCTAGATAGTTTTCTCTTGAAACAGTATTTGCCTCTAAATGCCTCAAACAAGCCAACGACTTCCAAAGTCAATTAAACCAATACACATGCATATTTAAATTTATGGTACCTCGTCTACCCTGTTTTCTTTTGAAGGTGTTTACGCTGTGTCATTTATAAGAAATGACCCTAAAGTAATAACAAGGCTATGCAAGCAGAGTTTCCCACTTTTTTCCTGTCCCCTTTCTCCATTCTGAAATCCCAGGCTTTTAGTCTTTCAGACGTTAAGTAAGTAGCACGTGGTATTGTACCGCCATGCTTAGGGTGCCCATATTTTAGCATCTATAAAAATCTCATTTCTACATTGCTTTTAGGCCTGTGACTGTCCAAAGTGGGATTAAAAAGGAAACCTAATCTAGTTATGCAATGCAGCCTGGGTTGCCAAGAGATGCTGTTTTAACAGACAATATCCCAGGCTCTGTGCAGTCCGGACTTTCTGAAGCAACATTCACGCTGCCAGCCAGCGGGAGAATCTTGCAGGGACTCTACAAACCAAGACCGTATTTCTCCATGTGTCTATACAGACAGACATACAGACCACCTCAACAGAATGTTTAACCCCAGAGAAGTTACCCAGCAAGAAAAAAATATGGGGCAGCAAAGGAGAATAATTCCAGGCAAGCAGCTTTTCAGTAAAGCTTTAATATTTTTAATCCTATCTCTTGTTTCTGTCCTGCTGTTACCAACTTCAGGGGGAAACTCAGCAGGTTGTTAAAAGACATCAATAAGATATGTCACAGCATCATTTAGGAATCTTTTAAACAGCAGACATTCAATTAAATGAAGAAAACGTCGATATAATGCCAAAACAAAAAAATTCAGTCATTAGCAAATCCCAGGTAACGCGAAACCCAAACCAGTGCGTGCACATGTGTGGGCTACCACATTCAGGGCAAAGTCCACCAAGAGAGGTGGGATCCACAGCAACTTGTCTGTAGACAGTATCATAATTCTCTTAACTCCCAAGTTCTTAAGATCTTCAGAGAAGGTCAGACACCTGATTTTACTTGCAATGAATCCTTTGAAATAGCAGAAATGGCTATGATGTCTTGGAATTATGTGGTATTTTAAACCCAAGATTATTTGCATTGTAATGACAGCAAAGAATCTTTTTTTTTGTAAACATATTCTCCAATAATCTTACAGTTGTACAATTTTGTAAAAAAGGGACAACAGACTGCTGAAATAACCATTCAGCATCATCAGAACCAGTTTTCCCCACAGAATTGTCCATTTAGGAGCAGTAAGTCAAACGAAAAGACAATTTTTGCCACGCTTAATGATGATGACTACAGAAAGGAGATTTCTCTTCGGGTAACGAGAACACGAAAAAGGCTGTGACATGCATGTACTGTGTGTGTCTCGCTCTAACCTAAAGGCAAAAACGTTTCTTTCTTACCTGCTACTGAATTTGGCCGTGGCATAAGGTAAAGAGGAATAGACTGCACTGACTGGGACAAGACCGTCTCCAGGTTCCTCTCTGGGATTTTGTTCAGGCTGTAGGTGGAGGCCGTCATGTTCTCATCCACACGGTATAAGCAGGAGTCCATGCTGGATTTCTGGGACTGCCAAGGTTTCAGGTTTCCTCCGGATCCAAGTTCTTTACTGCTTTCCCCTCCATATTTAGTGCGTTCCACATTTTCTGAGTAGCTTGTCAAAGTAGCTTGAAGGAAGAAATTATAAACAAAATGAGTAACAAAGAAAGAATGGCTTGCACACACACTGCTCTATGCCGAGTTGTGCAATGCAAGAGCCAAAAATGATGTTCATCATATTTTCCACATTCACATAAATCAGAGATTATGGAATTTAGTTTAACGATACTGTTTCTGCTTACTACTTCTAAAAGAACATTTAGGCTGTAATGTTTTGGCTCATACTGTTAAAAGCCATTAGTAATTACAAAGAGTATTAAAAATTATGTGCAGCATTGTATTTGAATACACAGTTCCAGAAACAGCAGAAATTATTAAGGAAAGAACATTATCAGCGATCCTCATATCTTTTAAATTGCATCGTAGTTACCACCTTTTCAGGAAATGTTTGCAGAACTTTATAACCTTGCAATGTCTGACACTGAAAAGCCGTAGGCACAGAAAGCCCCCACCTGACTTGCATGAACAACCAGCTCTTATGGATTAGTTTGGTTCAGAAACTGAACCCAATATCTCATTTGACTGACAGCAGGTTTTTATGAAGCTTTAACTGTAATCCACACATTTCCCCTTATATTATTTCATTTTACAGATCAGGATTGTTGCTACGTTGACTTTCACATTGGGAAGTGACAATACTATACTGATCCACACCACTAACATCTTCTCCCCGTTGGGATTTCCTCCTCTGGATTCTGATGCAGTTATCCCCTGGCTGTAACTCCCTTCAGGCTGTTGACTTTCCTTTCATCTTTAGTCTCCCACATACTCGTTCAAGGTCATCATCAGACCTTTTAGTCATTGAGAGAAGGTCCCAACGCCCATACCAGCTTCTCTGAGTGCATCAAACTTGCCTGCTCCTTAACTTGGGGGGTGGGGGGGGAACAAAAGAATAAAAAAAAAATAAAAATAAAAATAAAAGAGCTCACAACCCTCTCATCATCCCAATCACCCACATTTCCACTGCTATTCAAAAACCCTGAAATTCAACTCGACCCTGAATTTTCTGAAGCCCCAGACGTGCCCTGTGCTTGTAGATCTACTTGCTAAATCCACTGAAATCCGTCATTTTCACTTAGCAGTGGTAAATACCTTTCCCAGTCCAAATTCTCTGCTAATTTCTGTGCCATCTGTCCCTGGACACAACAGCATGGATCTACGGCTTCTTGTCTGCAACACAAATCACACTGTAATGTCTCCTCAGGGGCAGCCTGCTTGCCTTCACAAAAGCCCATTCCTGAACCAAGGGAGATGCTGCCTCATTAACAAACAGCACCACATTAATTTTTATATTGATAAACACAAACAGTAAATTACTCCAAATGCTTTAAATTACTCCATGCTTTTAGGCTAAAGCTTTTTCTAGGCCAAGTTTAAAGAGTAAGCAGCCTAGAAAAGAAGTTCCAGCCAAAGAGCACCTAAAGGAAGATGCAGTTTAACTGCAGATGGATAAGGGTTATTTCGTTTGTTTTTCTATATGCACCCAGAAGCAGAGAACTACGTATTTAAGCCAGTTGTTTACATGTTGAGTACAGGAATAATTTCACTGCCTAACTTTAGGCATCTGATTTAAATTCTCAGAAATACCCATACAGACCTGGCAAAATACAAAAGTGATGACACTTAAAGCCAGGGGCTCTGGACAGCTCTCCCTACCGAGGTGCCAAGCAGACTGCTGGACTCTATCCCCAATGCAAAACCATGAACTTCAATGACCAAGGACTAATCTGCCTTAATTATGCACGTTAAATGACATTATAATAGGAACCAGAATTAACTGCTTACATCTAAAGTCACAAAATCATCATTAAAAAAAAATAAAAATGAAGACCCCTGTCATTCTTACTGTGCCTGCTCCTTATCCATCCCAACAAACTCCATGCAGCTTCAACCTTTACCCCTATTTCTATCATTTTATTTCTCAGTATTGGGTTTCTTCTCTATGCAGTGGGATCAATACCTTCATGTCTCATCAAGAGTTCCAACATTTAGTTGTTTGTAACATATTTTGAAATTTAAAACCAACGCATACAACTGCTAAGAACCAGTATTTGTTTGTTGGCATTTAAACATAGGTCTGCTGTCAGGTAAACATATTTATACTTTAGCATAAGAAAATAAGATAAAAACAAGAAACAGATGTTCACAGATTTTCTTGCTGCCTCAAACTGTTTAATATTGAGAAATAGGTTTGAAATGGTTTTCTAGAAAATCTCCATTTCAAAGTCTGGGTCTGCAGTGCTAGGCATACTATGTTGTCTATTTACAGAAAAAAAAAAAAGTCCATTAATCCATTAAAATCCATTCATTTTAAAAACCTATCTCAGTATATGCCTAATTAATCTTTGCAGAAACACATCAGCACCTGAAATCAGTCATCTTCCAATACATCAAACTGAGGAAAAACAAAATAACTATGTGTCAAAATAAGTTTTCTCTAAATGAAGCAACAAAAAAAGTAAAGAACGAATAAATCCTACTGGCCCCTTTTCTAATTGTCAATTTGTGTTCATTTTAAACGTAATTTTCATTGTTTTACACTAAAGCTGTTTTATGTGCAAACTCTTCATTGAATCAGGTATTTAGGATTGTTCCCTGTGGATTAATTTACCTTGTGAACAGCCCTGGATGATATAAGTACTGCTACACAAGCTGGAAGCGATTGCTCTATGGACTTAATCTCTTCTATGAGCTATTTTAAACCAAACCAATTTTGACTTTATTTAAAGGCAAAAGCGTGAGGTTACCTATGAGCCAGCAACGTGAACTGACATGCAGAGCACGTCTCCTGGGGGAACTAAAGCTTACCAACGGCGCGACCCAGAGAGCTGCTCAGAAATTACAACTTCACAATCAAAATTTGAGAAAGCAATGTCTAATTTCAGAAAAATTCACATTATCTGCAACTAAGGTTGATGCAGGGTGATACTCAGGGTTAAGAAGTTGGTAATGAAAAGCTAGTAAATACAAAGAAAGTGCAAAGATTTAGTCAGCCCTGAAGTGGTCAGGCAGCTGGACTAGATGATCATTGGAGGTCCCTTCCCACTGAAAAAATTCTACTGTATTCTATTGCATTTCATTTCATTTCTTGGGCAGAAAGAACTTCATTTGTCAGTCCCCAATAGGATCAAGCCCATGAACACCCGCAACCTGATGGAAATCTGCAAAATAACATGATTTCTGCAAATTTGCCATATTCATACCCTAAACTTTCCAGAACTGCAGGGGGTATTCTAAACCAGGGTCTGTGCTCCTATGGTTTGGGGGTGTGAGTACATCTCCCCATCATCTCCTGCGGTGGCCCCTGCGGGGGATTAACTGTGCTTTACAGCAATACTCTCTTTAGAGGGTTGCACAGGGAACGAAGACCCACCCTCGGGATGAATCCTACTCACAGTCACAGCAGGACTCCTGTTGCATCATTAATGTACCTAAACCATATCTACATGTTAAAAATATTCCGGGCCTTAATCCAGATGCAGAGAAGCCGATTGAAACGGGCAACGGCAGCTACAAACTAACATGACGACATTGCTGTCCATGCTTCTATCGTCAAGCAGATTTTTGTATACATAGAATACAGGAGAGCATCAGAATATCAGATTATACTAAAAAATGACTCTCAATTTAAGATTGCTTCTGATATTACTACTCTGGTTAGACTGAACATCTAAACCACAAAACAAGTATTTTGTGCTCATCCTTGTTTCTTTGCTCTGTAATTCATAACCATGACTCTGGCTAATCCGGACGATGGCCTGATGAAAGGAGGTCCCAGTGATGAAAAGTCCCCACAGACCCCAATTATACATTACATTATTTGAACTGTGTCAGTGCTAAAAGGGGCTGCAGGAAACACTCATGGGCTCAGCTTAACCCACATGCAAGAAACCCAGTATCTGAGGTTTTCACCACTGTCACTTCTCAGTTTGCAGGAACATTTAGTGGTTTGTGGGAGGAGATGTGTCCCAGCCTCGGGAGAGGACGAGCCCCTGTCCCCGAGGGGGCTCACAGCATCCCTGCCACTGGAAGCTGGAAAATGGCAATGGAATTGTCCCACCGATGGAGATACCAGAATTAACACTTTCTTAATATGAGGTTTAGAAAAGAAACAAATGGTTCTTCAGACATTGCCAGAAAATTTCTTAAGGGTCCCATGATTTTTTTTACAATGAGGGTGGTGAGGCACTGGAACTGGTTGCCCAGAGAGGCTGTGGCTGCCCCATCCCTGGCAGTGTTCAAGGCCAGGTTGGACGGGGCTTTGAGCAACCTGGTCTAGTGGAAGGTGTCCCTGCCCATGGCAGGGGGGCTGGAACTGGATGATCTTTAAAGGTCCCTTCCAACCCAAACCATTCCGTGATTCTATGATTTTTAAACCCAAGGAAACCCAATTAACCAAAAGCTCAAAAAACCCACAATCTCTTAAGACATCGCATGCTCTAAATTTGGGAAAGATAAACCGATGACCTCAAATCCATCAAAGAGCAGGAATTTTTGCCTTAAGCCATCTGCTGAGAGGCAGATCTTTCAACCCTGAGTCCCCACCCAGTCCATCAGGTTACGTGATGGGACACGTTAAGCTGGGGGTGCCACAAGAGGAACCTGCGGGGGTGCGAGAAGGGCTGCAGAGATGCCGCGAGAGAACGTGCATTTACATGAGGCTCTTTTCACTGCTGAATCCAGCCAGAAAGCACAACCCTGGTGAAAAAAACCAGAACGTCGGAGTGCCTGGGCCCTGCTCTATGGGAGCCAGCGGGCTGCGATCACAGAGACCACGGCGCGTGCCGGCGGTCGTCGGTAGCAAGAATAGACGTCGCTGCCTCGTGGAGGCACGGAGAGGATTATTGCAGGGGACAGAGTAAGACGGGGGAAGCCATGAGAGTCACACACTGAACATGCGAAACTGACAGCCATGCAGAAACATCTGAGGTTCTCTATAGCACTGAAGTAATACCACATGTATATAAATATAGACACGTGTGTGTATAAATATGTATATATTTTTTTT